TTTTGACTCTATCTAACACCGGTCCCCCCATCCTGGATCCCGTCTTCTCCCGCGACCCCACGCACCCTAATTTTGACTCTATCTAACACCGGTCCCCCCGTCCTGGATCCCGTCTTCTCCCGCGACCCCACGCACCCTAATTTTGACTCGTTTTTTTTTCTTCTTCTTCTAATTTTGACTCTATCGGGCGCGAAAACCAGCCTTTTGTACATCATGAGCAGGGTGCGTTGTATTCGGAATCAGCCAGGTCGGTAATGGTTCGGCGTTCGGCGCGGTCTGTAGGGAGATCGCCGCACCACTTTTACGAAATGTGCGAAATGCGGAATGTATAGTCTGCAGGAACGTGCAAAGATACGTCCGTGGAAAGATACACCCGCGGCGCGATGGATTTTGTCTTTTTCGTTCTCAGCGAGTGGCGCGGTGAGGCCCGGCCGGTGCGGAAGGCGGGAAACGCACCGAAGGTCGCCCTGTGGACGAGCACGAAACAAACAACCGAGCACGAAACAAACAACTGTGCAAAATGAGAACGAATTTTCGGTTAGAACGTGAAACTATACACGGACTCAGTTTTTCGTTCTTTTCACATTCGCCGACTGGTCCGGTGGACCCCCTCGCTCTTTCTCAGGGCATATAGCTTGTGGACGAGTCCTCAACTGCTTATCGTTCTGCGCGGCCCGTAGCGTGCGAATTCGACAGCGGTCGACAGCGGGGAGGGAGTCGGTAGTACACAGTTAGGTGTTCGTCACTGGAAGAGTGGGGGCGCTGCCTTTAGGTATCTGCGGGTGACGACGGTAAGAGAGTTCTCCTCCTTCCCTTCCCTTCCCTTCCCTCCTTCCCTCCCCTCTGGAAGTGGCACCCATCACCACGCCCACCTCTTCCAAGCCTTTGTCGTTGCGTTGGCACTGTTTCCTCCTCTCTCTGTCACTACCATCTCGATTACTACTACTACAAATACTACCGTCTTCCCCCGAACACAACGCACCCTTATTTTGGCTGTATCTGGCCGGAAATATAGCTTGTATACATTCATTTTTAGGGTGAGTTATGTTGGGGGGAAGACGGTAGTACTACCGTCTTCACCTGAATGCAACGAACCCTAATCATGTCTGTAGAGGACTGGAAGGATAGCTTGTATACCATCGTGATAAGGGGGGGTTGTGTTTGGGGGGCTGCCACTTGTACTACTATCAATTAAGACTGCTACTGGTTATGTAGGTTCGAGCGTAGGAAGACTGTGGAAGTAACTACTACCGTCTTCCCCCGAACATAACGCAACCTGAAAATGAATGTATACAAGCTATATTTCCGGCCAGATAAAGCCAAAATAAGGGTGCGTTGTGTTCGGGGGAAGACGGTAGTGATGTAGTTACTACCACCACCACTTGTACTACTACTAGTACGTCTAGCACGAGGAGGAAGAGCACGATTCGTGCGTGTCATCCCCGCAAGGCACATGCTAATCTTCTCTATATCGATCCAAGTTTGATGGACAAGAGAGAGAGAGAGAGAGAGAGAGAGAGAGAGAGAGAGAGAGAGAGAGAGAGAGAGAGAGGAGAGAGAGAGAGAGAG